GTATATATCAAATTTGGTGCATAATCTCCTAGTGTATCGTATCAATAAATAGAACAACTGAACTTTTAAGTAGACTCAACTTTCTAGCTGACTCTTATCTCGACGTCACGTAAGCCAACTTCGAATTAAGAACAGAAATTGATACCCAATCTGGCTCACCATAAAAGGGCAAACAGGTCGTTTCAAGTCGGTCTACGAAGAAGATCGTGTGAGAAGGCCACTTTCGCAACTAACGTGTAGCTAACTCAAGGTTGGCAGAAATCTGTTTTAAGCCGAATCTCTTCTCCGGGCTTCGTCATGTCATTCCACCCCTGATTCGACTTATCTTGCATAATAATCAGCTCTCTGATGTCGGTTGCCAGGCTAGATGCGTTGGTAACAAAGCTAACTAGTGCTCTATGATTGACCAGGACCGATGACTGTTCCTTCCAGCCTGTCTTATCGGCCACAGTCACGAGATATTTCTGCCAACGTGTGACTTGTGTGGGTGGTGGACATGGTTGCGCAAACTCTGTGTCATTTACAGCGAGGCAGCGGGTCCCACGACAAACCAGCCGCTTAATTACACAGTTGCGTTTGTAAACATAGAAAAACCGGCAAAAGACAGGCAGCAACGAGAAACGTAAAGGGGCAGATTCGGCCAAGCCACGAGCACATGCTGAGCGCAAGCAACAATTAGACAGGCTCGATGATAAACTTGCATGGTTCTCGTCCTAGATTAGCTCTAGTTTCCAGAATAATATAGTGAAACTGTGTAAAATCAAGTGAACAAATGAGGCTTGGCTCATACGAAATACCGGAATTGTCTCTATTAATCTGTTAGGGGGACATTCATTTCGTATGAAAGTGCACGAGGAAGAGATGATGGACGAAAGCTTAGCATGTTTTCACCCGAAATTAGGGAGGAAGTCTTGCTGACTGTGTCAAATCGAATATCGTATGAAATCCAAACGGCTGCAGTACAGCAAGATTCACCCGTCCTCATCTGGTGAGATCGAGCAACGAATCTCTTCTTCATGCACTTTCATACGAAATGAAGGTCCCCCTAACAATTTTATCTCACGAGATTAATCGAAACCAAGTTTCTCTTCGTATCTATTAAGCTGTGTTTAATACGGATTCTCCACATCCTCTGCATTTAGGGCAGCTTCCCCGTGAAGGCCGGTATGTAATATAAACTACAACATAATAACCGACTAAAAGATATGGGAAAATTCACATCTGTGTTATGAGATGTATTCGCCCTATTTCGTGTAAGGTGATGAAGGACTGGTAGTAGAATTTTCCCACAATGATATGAGTTGACTGACGTTTACATTGAATTTCACATAGCCTTGCTTTCCCAAAAGTTGTTCTCATCCAGGATGGACTGCAGTTTCGACCTC